AAAAAAAAAAAAAAAAACAGATTTTAAGAAAGATTTTATTTTAAACAGAAATATTCTAACTTTTGGGACAATATCATCTGATATAGAGTACATTTATATACATGCCAGAATCATTTGACATTTAAATATGAGTTCCCTACCACTTTAAAAACAAAAAAACCCTCCTCAGGATAACATTTTGAGAATTTCATTAGAAAACCTGCAACAGGAATAAACATTTGTTTTAACTGCCCAAATAAAGGTTTAAAAATCCTACCAGCGTCTGCAGTCCTAACTCAAATGAGTTCTCTAACATTTTGGGTAAATATTGACTCTTAAATCACTCGACTGTAGCACCACCACTCACTCTGGACTGAAGGATACTAATTAGCACGGACATTTTTAGAACTGGACAGAAGTTGCACAGGTAGCATGCTATCATTAGGCAACAATAGATTGACTGAGCTGATTCTGGCCCATGCTTTGTGTAATCAGTTTGTATGCACACATGCTGAGCTTTATCAATCTAAAGCCACAGAAGTGATTTAAATTCTAATTTCAATCATTTGGATTTGTTATTTATTCTAAATACCGTTAGTATTATAATGTTTAATAATCAGAGAGGTTTTGCAGAATGGTTTTATTATTTTGATCATCAGTCCTGCATCCCTGGTAACATGACACCAAAGTGAAACAGAAGGAAAGCTGGTGACTCTTATCTTGAGCAAACATTATGCACCTGTGACAAGCGAACTTAATTCCCCGTTTCCTCATCCAACCCAACCCCATCGTTCTCAACATGCAAAGCTCTATGTCTGTGTAAACTGGCCTCAAACAAATAAAATTAAAATAGCATCTGCACACTGAGCGCAGCAGTCAGTCGGCCCATCCGGCTGTCGGCTCTTTGTCGCAGGCCGACGGAGAGCGGGGCTACAGCTCCGCTCTTGTTCCAAGCTCCATAAACGTCAGCGAGATAAGTTTATGGTCGACAGATGCTCAAGTAAATGAAGCTCCTTGCCCCTCCTTCATCTTCCCTCAATCAAAGAAGGGGCTCCCTGGTCATCAGCAGCGACCCGGACTTAACCTCCCACTGAGCTCCCATGGAAACGGAAGAGCGGAGAAAAAGGAGGAAGCTGTGGCGGTGGGAAGTTACGATCCAAAGAAGCGACCCGAGTGTGTCTTTTTATGCACAATTGTCTGCGTGGATCTGTGCGTCCAAGCTGCTGTCTATACTTCCAGGCTCTTCTGACACACAAACACCTGCTGCTGCTGTCTGCAGCCTCGCCTAAAGCCAGCCTCGCTCACTGATTCAGACAGACAGCAGTCACAAGAGCCTCTTTCTTCTAACACAGCTGACCTTCCTCCAGGATGACCGTTCAGTATTCAAGCATGGCCTTATAGGAGATTATAAAGCCTTACACATTAAAACTGAGAGAAGAAAGCTTCTATGTTGCATTTCTAACATCCCTGAACCATTCCAACATTCCTGTTCAGCTTTAAAACCTAATCTAACAGATCTTAAAGCATCTCTAAGGGCTAAAACCCAGTCTCAAACCTTCAAACATATTAGGTCTGAGCAAGTGAAAACAGCTGGTCAACAAGATGAGAGAAAAATGAAAGCCAAAAGAGAGAAAGTAGAAAAAATGAGTTCAGAGCCACCTGTTGCCATTGGTCCATTTTCTGCCAGACACGCATCATGAGGACAAAGGAATCCTCAGAGCAAATTTACTCACAGAGTTTAAGAAAAGAAGCAAAGGGTTAAAGATTGTGCATAGTTTTACTGAAGGTTTGTTTCTTTTTTTAAGGGTACAGAAATTACAGACAAAAAAAAAAGTAAATCAGCCATGAAGGAATTTGCACAATGAAAGCAGTAAGCAGCTTGTTGGCAGCTCGTAAAAAGCTGTGGTTCTTTTGGGTCGGTCAGGGCAATGAAGGCCACCAACACCCTTCAACATGACTGGTTAAACTTACAGTGTTCACACTGTAGCGGACATCATCTTTACGAGATGCGCCGCCTTGAAAAAAGCCTTTATACCCTTTTTTTGGTACAACCACAAGCTTCCATAAGGATTTATTGTGATAGACCAGGGGTTACCAATAAAGAAAATCCTCAACCAGTAAAGGTCCGGAGAAATTTTTAATTATAATCCGTTACTTTAAACAGAATTTAACACTGAAATAAAATTAGGTTTTTATGCATCCATGTTATACATTGAATTTTATGTAAAAAAAAAAAATAGAAAATTTTTCCATTTTAAAATCTAAATTGTTTTTGAAGTAAAGAACAACAATTGTTCAGTTTGGTATATAGACAATTTCCTGATTCACATATTTAAAAAAACACCTGAACTGACTGTTATTTTTTTCTTTTTTCTGTCTTAATGAGAGCAGTGGACTTTATGCTGCCCTGCAAGGCTTTAAACCTGGGTTTGATTCTGTTCATGGTGAAGAATCCTGCTTCACAGCAGCAGGTTGAGCTAAACATCCTCTAAATGTTCAGGGTCATCTTTGAGCACCATTTCAGTTTTCTTTCACCAGTTCACCGCAGTTCTTCCAGCAGTCCACACTTTCTCTGCTCTCTTTTTCTCATCATCTTCTCCTTCTTTCCCATCGCCCGGCTTGCCATAGGTTTGCCTGCTGTGTCTAAAAGTAGCAGCAGCAGCAACCCAGACTGACAACAGCTCATTGGATCATTTGGATCATGTTCAGCCTGGTCCAAGACACTTTGGAGGGCTTTACCGTATTAACAGGAGAAGCGGTGCAAGTGAAATTAGACACTGTCGCCGGACAACATGGGGTAATTTATAAATGTTTTAAATCAGGTTGGGTCTGGATCTGGACCAGGGTTTTTTTTAATCGGTGCATGAATAATTAATAAAACAAAAAAATTATAAAGTTAAAGGTTGGTCTGCATCGAAATACATCAACTTCAATATTGCTTAATAAAGCTTAAAGCAACAAAATGCCTTTAAAAAACAGAATTATTTATGGAAGACATAACGTGGATGAAAGCGTTCTGGAATTAAATTGGCCATTTGCAGCATGAATTCCTATCAGTGTGCATTGTGAGCATCTGCTGCAGTGAGGTAAGATTCAACCCTCTCAGTATCTATAGGAATGCAAAATGGGAACTGATGATACGTAGAATATATTAGCTGACAGAGCGTTCCAATCGCTATTTTGCCATGAATATACATTTGGATTATAGTACAGCTGTAGTCTAGCCAGTCTAGTCAAAGCGTTCTCTGTGAACACAAGGTGTAAAATCAGGGTTTATAAAGGAATGAGTAACTCTAATTCAAAGCTTTTTAATGCTCTTTAAATGCTCTTAGAAATAATTTTAATGCCATCAACAAGTACCAATGGCTCTCATATATACACGGCAAATTTCTTCTTCATCTTTACCGTTGACATGCTGCAATTCCTCGTTTTCCAGCCACTTTTTAAATTTGCATTTTCCCATCCTCTTGCTTTTTCTTCGCCTCAAGCTTCTTTTCCGAACATACGGCTTTACGATCAACCGCAAGCAGTTCCGCGCAAATATAGAAATATATCGCAATATATTTGCAAATATATATATCATTTGATAAAACATTTTTCTAAATAAAGCATTTTAATTGCCAAAATAATTACATTTAAGGAATTGTGATGCCAATTCAGGCCTTAACTTAAATAATAATCACATTTTTTTATTAGCTTTTCATATTAAACCAATAGACATCCCATCCAGGGCATACAAAACAAAACGAAACAGAAGAAAACAAAATGACTCCATATTTACATCACACAAACATCCCAAAAAAACAGACCAACTATTAACAAGACAGTTAGTTGACCCGCACATACAACCCATGTTCCAGACATCCATGGGTTGCAAACTAAAATCATAAGTATGAATAACAATCATAATGATAATAATTCCGCCAAACAGACAAAGAAAAAAAAAATACTGCCGATTATGCTGAAGCAGATGGAACTTCAGATTCAAAATAAGAAATAAAAGGTTGCCAAATCTTTAAATATCTCTTAATGGTACCCTGTGACGTAAATCGAAGATGTTCCAGCTTTAGGTGTGCCATTACCCCCTATCCATCGTTTATGAGTTGGTGGCGCTGCCTTTACCCAATTAAATAGGATCAATCTCCTGGCCAACAGTGAAGAAAATGCCATTGCCATTTCTATGCCCCACATTTAAGGAATTTTAATGCCAATTCAGGCCTTAACTTAAAACAAAAAATTATTTAATGACTTTTAATGATTTTTAATGACCAGTGGAAACCCTTAAAATTCTCCCCTCAGTTTATCGGATGATTTATGTCAAACACTTAGGAATCTGCTCGTGGCTTTGCAGGATAAACAAGCTCTCAGCTAGAGATGGACTCTCCCTGATGCACAGTATGATGAGGCAGGACTGATCACACCAATCAGCAACCATTGTAACTTCATTACAAATGACTTTATTTAAAGATAATAAAAAAAAACATGGAGGAAGTTGTCAAGCGTTTATTTTATTTTATTTTTTTAAGTCTGGTTCGTTCATAAGGACGTTTAACCGACTGGATTAGAAATGTTGCAGTATTTTCCTATAAAAGGGGATTTTTTTGTTTGTTTTTTTGGAGGGATGATTGTGCTTTAATAATTTCATTACACGAGGAGGATGTTTCTTTCCCTAACCGAAGCATTTAATGATGCACATGGTGTTAATTTCCAAAATCGGCACAATGTTTGGCTGAGTTACGCGTGTATGCGATAAATAACTCTGATGTGGAAACAGCTGAGTCATGCAACTAACATGCTTACCGAGAGTCTGTCTTTCCCAAGTTGGCTCCAGCAGGATGGAGGATCGTCTGGTTCTTCGCCATTTCCACAACACATTTTGTGTTTAGCTCCTTTTCTGTGTAACAGACAACAACACAGCGTTACTACAACAACTCTCACAAAGCTTAATTATGCGCTGCATAGGGGCTAACCTGCTCATTTAAAACCGCACCAAAACAATCAATGCTTTGTGAAAACTGGGCTAAATTATGCAATACATATTTCAGATATGAATGGGATATTTTAAGGTATAAGCATGAGTTAAAATGTATCCCAGCAAACATGTTACTGCTGAGCATCAAGTTTAAATAAGTGAGCAGACGGGAAATCAGAGGCTGAAAGTGACCTTTTACCTCAGACAAAGCAATGTGGCAAATCAATAAAACTGGACACGTCGAGTCATGATGCAACACTCAACCATCTGAACGCCACCTAAGCCTTTCACTATCAGGAACGGTCCATGTGCTTTAAACGTTCAGGTATACCACTCAATTAGCTAAAGTTGGTCACATAGAACAGTCATTTTAAAAACTATTCTTTAGCGTTAAAGTTTTGGCAACAATAGTTTTATATACCTCCTACTCCAGAAGTTAATTACACACTGGAAAAAAAATTTAATCTAGATAAGTAATTTTTTCCCTAAAAGAAGTGCATCTGTTCTTGGATTGAGGAGGTAAAAGAGACATTTTGCCAATAGAACAAGACAAGTTACACTTAAAATAAGAAGTGTATATTATCTAATTATCTTATACTCATTCCATTGGCAAACCATCTCACTTACCTACTCAAATTAAGGGTAAATACACTTATTTAAGACATTTTTACTTATTTCTAGAACTTTTTCCAGTGTAAATCTATCAAGAAGGGTAATGATTTTTTTTCTCCAAGTAAACCAGTATTAGGCCCCGTCCACACGAAGTCAAAACGAA